GTACTCAACACGCTAACTCCGTCATGCAGACGGCGTGGGAACACGCAGTCTGACTAACCCTGCCCGTCAGACGCATTTATATCCTGTCTACGATTGAAAATATCATTATCCATGTAAGTGTATTGGCCTGGTGATGAGTTACTGAAAACGTATTTTGGCCAACTGGCTTTTCAATCGTAATGTAGGAATTATCGCAGCACTTCATAATAATTCTCGGCTTTCTATTTTCGATGATAAATTTATATATTTTCATCACTTATCCTTCCTCGTACGATGTCCCGCATGCCTGTATCACCTGATAGCGTCCGTTAGGAGATGCACATTCTTTAAAACGGGATTATTCATGCAGGTGCTCCGTCTGAGTTTAGGCTGCCGTGTACCCCTCCCAGCGTCATTCATCATCCGACGTCGCTGCCTCGCTCGGCCCTACAATATGGCCAGCTCAAAAAAACTGCCTAATTAGATCGACAACTAGCAGTATCAGAAACCAATATTTGATCAAACCGAAGATAATTTCATCGCTAGACCGTTGTCAAAGATTTTCAAGTTCTACGATTGGCGACATATACCCAACCCCAAAAACTACATAACTCCATACTTCAGCCCTATATAGTGAATGTCGTTCTTTTTAGTTCTTCTTCTGCTCCACCTTGAAACTTGGGCTTTTTAACTTTAGACAAACTCCTTACTTGAGCTTTGTTTACGTAACATTGATCGAGAACGAATAAAGGCAATGTGCAGCCGGAAGGAGTAAGTTTGGTTTAGATTTTTCCCTTGTTCATAGAAGACTGACAGCGCCCAAGAGGTGCTATCATAAACCTTTTGTATTGTATTTGATTTGCCTTCGCGTATGATGCCACTGCAGACTTGTCGCTAACACTTAAACTTGACACTTATTTGGCACCTCCATTCACTGTAAAATGAACTCAATGGTATTTTTGTTGGCTATTTGCAAGTAGTGACTTAATTTTTGAGTTGCCTGTGATTCTACGTACTGACTAACACACGTTTGATTTGATCAGCGATATAAGCCTTCAAAATGATTCTTGACTCTCTAATATATCGTCGTCCAGTGTTAATGGTCAAGTTGTTCAGTCACGAATTTTTAATGTACATTTGCCAGTTGTAAAAAATAGGAGGTTCGAACGCGAATATCTAAAGTTCTCTCAAATAAGTTAAACTTAACTATCTTGCCTGGGATTTCCTCTCGCACTCTCTATCCCAATGTTGTTTTTATTATGTTATATTCCGCGCGCAAATGATAACTTTGTTGTAGTAACATGAAAACACATTACATGAGTTCAACCGATGAATTCTTGGCAGTCAGTACATCTGGAAGTGAAGATATGGGGACGTCCGATGATAGAAAATTAATTGACCTGGATTACGATAACGATGACACAGAAACTTTGTTCGACTCGGATGAACTGAAAAATGCAGGACATCTGAATCATGAAATAAAAATGCTTTCAACAAAGCTGTTAGAAAAAGAGGTGGAAATCAAAAACCTGGTTGCTTCCTCTAAGGCCAAAGAGGAATATCTTAGGGTATGCCAGTTCTTGTTTGGTGCGAAACGTCTTTACTCTATGATAACTGCGAACTCAGTCGAAATCTGATTTCCTCGTTCCTTATCCTCGTCTGGTCGAAAAAACCCTATTAGGATGTCCGCTAGTGTTGCAATCATAAAATTCCTATTTTTTTCCCAGTTGACACCAGTCCTGTTAAACCCCCTCAGCTCCTACGGGGCTTTGGTGGGCTGCGAGGGGCTATCATGATAGCCCCTCGCAGCCCAGACACTGCAGAGTCTGGGGCGGGACTGTGGATGGGCATATAACTCGTTAGCCCCCTATATCGCACATTCAAAAAACGTAAAATGTTCTAGCTGGAAAGCTCAGTAACTTAGGGTCAAGTTGACTTGATCGGCCTATTTAAAAAAACGCAAGCCATAGTTCCTTGAGGTACATTAATTCCTCAGACAATATCAGCTCACTTTGCGATCCACAAGTTGCTCAGAGGCAAAGTCGTTAGTCATCGAAATTCAAAATAACATATGTGCTGTCAATTAGAAAAAAATTTAATAAAAACTCAAGTTTTCTCTCTTTTTCCAAAAGTCGATAGATGTTATTTTCAGCGACGCCGAAGTCGCGTTTTTTTCAGGACTAGGGTAAATGGGGTCTTAAATATTGTGAATACGACATGTAAACAGTGAGTAAGCGTGAAAAAGACACTTTATGATCGCATATTATGCTAGCCTCTATTTTGAAACGAAAAAGAACGCTGCATTAAGAAAATATCTTCTTCTGCATATTTTGTTTGGCTTAAAAATAAATGTGATCGTAAGGAACCTGACAAAATAATGTCCTTCACAGCAGAGAGCGCTTGTACAAATGATCTCGGGATTCTTATTCGCTTTCTAATCGATTCGCTAAAAATTTCCGACCGCGTCTGATTTGCATTTTGTGGGGGCGGGGGAGTGGATCAGCATTTATTCGTTGTCGCTTGAGCACAGGAGAAGCTTATCAAAGATTTCCACTTGATGGTTAGTCGTTCACTATTCCATAAGTGCTAATTTCTTGGCGACTAGGTTCTTTTCAACCGAGTTGTTTATTTTGTCAAATACGCTCACGTCTAGAGATCCGTATAAGTTCACTGATGATCATTCAAATTAGTTTTCCGGAGCAGGATGGAATTGCAACACCCAATATTCAGGTTTAGTAAGTCTTTTCTCTTTGACATTCAAATAAGGGGCATTAAATCCACAAAATTAATAGGTTGACGACAAATCACATCAAGCCTACCTCAGAAAACCAAATAGAGAGATACCTTATCAATTGAAATAAATAGTGAAAAAATAGGGTAAAGGGAAATGCCCGAGTCCATTACCAGAAACCGGTTTTTACTCAGAAAGGGGTTTGTTTTACACCACATATAGAGGTGAATTTTCTTCTAGAAGCTTAAAATGTCAGAATGTCCCATCAGCAAGTATTGGAGGTGAGGCGCTAAACATATTTGTCGTAAATCTTCTTCGGGTCTCCTGAAATCTCCCAGAATCACAATTTTGCTGTGGTAAAAATCCGGATTAGTATTAGTCGTGATTTCCATCGGTTGTTATGTTTTGTGTCAATAAAATAAGTTAAATTTGATTCATCGTACTCCCAACGGCGTGCACGTCAGATGCAGTGCTGTGGATAGCATCATGCTAGAGACATGACCAAGCGCACTTATATATAAACGCATGCTACTGACACGTTAATAACGAAATGACACTTGGAATAATTTCACAGCCAAAGCTGATTTTGTTTATTTCATAGTGCTAGTTTCTGCAGCTCTCTAACGACATGCTTAGATCACATATAATAGATTATGATGATTTTGTCTAAAGTGTCATGATGTCAAAATACCTTGTCCGGTGTACGTAATACTGTTGTTATTTTTTTTTAGAGATAATCGCTATTTGATGAAGGGCGACATTTTGTGCATGTCTGTAGTGCCATAATTTGTTGCGTCAGTTTGTCTTATTTTACAGGAGCAGCTGGAGGCAAACATGCAATTTACTTCTTTGAAACTTTCAAAGGAGAGAAGCCTGACTGAGAGTCAAAGGGCCCTTCTGGCCGAGGCTGTTCAGCTTCAGAGAATCCTTGCCGAATATCGTCTAGGAATCACCTTTGAAAAAAATGAAGTTCAGATACATTCACTGGATGACGTATTTTTGATTGGGAGGTCGGACTATGAACTTCTACAGACAATTGCCTGGGAGCGTTTAACACTACTAGATCTGCTAAAGTTCCGAGTTTTCCAGCTGGTAAGAGATTACATAGTTGTTTTTCAAGATTCATCCCCATAATAACGTTGTATCACGTATTTCATCGTTAAAAATAAACATCCGTTTAGGCATAATGCAAACATCTGTTTTTGAAGAAGGAACGTCGAAGTCTAGGTATTTAAATGAGTTTGACTAAAAGCAGTCCGGGCCAGTTACAGGAAATCCAATCTTATGCGAAATAACTCCCGTGGCAACTGACATCGCGTCAGTCTAATTCAGTGAACAACTGGGTTAAAATCCGAATTTAAGTCTGTGCGGAAAGGGATACCAGTTGAACCGTGAACACTGTTTTTACCTCAACACCCTCATCGTCCTATTCACATACCAAGAAGAGACCTAAAGTACCATTGGGAGGGGCTTATTCTGTGCATAAGGAGACACGATTGCTGAGACAAGAGCTTTATTTGTCCGACGTTTCGGATTCCTGCTGGAACCCATCATCAGATATAAAAGTAGATACGGGTAGGTCGTGCACAAGGGACTGCAGTATTTATAGGATGCAGTCGTCATGCCACCGTGGCTCCCTCCTTCACCAGGGATCTTTGCGCTTGGTGTGATGACTGTTTGTCGGCCAGCATTTGCGTCGTTAATTGTTGCAATTTCATCACGTGTGTTGGGTGTTATTGTGATGATTGCTCGACCATCTGACCCACCGACCATGGCGTTGGGAACAGTGTTCACTTGTGCGTTCCCCGCGTAGCTAATTATTCCGCCTAGGCGAAGTCTCAGCACTGGGTATGGCAGGGGAAGATCGTCGCACTTGTTGATGGACTATGGGCCAGTGAACAATGACTCAACCAGCTCCCGGCTCAGGCGGTTGTCACCCCTAGCGAAAGTTTTGGCCTCGTCAAATTTGAATTTGTGGCCGAATCTCGTCGAATGAGCCTTACTCTGTACAAATACTTGAAGGAAAGTCGTAGCAAACCATGGTCGTCGACTGATATACAACCAAAACCGGGTAACTATGATGCTCCCATGAAAGCCCTTGCTAGTATCAGGTGTTAAAATCATATAACTCGATTGCCTAACACATATGCTTGGTTGATCATCCTAACGCGGTATCCACCGCAAGCGGTGTTCACACGAATATCGACGTGGCTTGGTTTGGTTGAGGTGGGACCAGAGCCAATTTCGTAAATGACGACAAAATACACAGAAATAACTACTGCAGACTGTCCTGTTTTTCGCCAGTATTGCCCCTCAATATCTGATGCTCCCTATGGGATCCCGTGACCTAGAAATTATACAGCATGTGTCGTCGAGTCTACAAGATATAACTCAATCAGCTAAGGTATATGTAAATCGTTCATGCTTCTCTTAGACTTTCTAACGGAAGAAATCAATTTTAAAACATGACTTTACAGGCTTCGACTATGCAAGAGGACGCCACGATCTGGCGAGCAAAAGATGAGGCATCAACGCAAACAGTCGAGGAACTCCAAGCGCAGCCGTCTTTGAGTGGAGTTGCCCAAGTAAGCAAAAGTCAGTTTTAATATCTTATCTGCATTTCATACGTCTAACAGAAACCACTGAATACTTACAAAAGTTCTTGCAGACTTTTATGAAAAGCGTTGTAATAGTGATTTCAGGCGATGCATGCCTTTTTCTTCATTTTTACATTGCATGACTTGTTGGAGTGCAATTGCTGGAGTGATCATTGTATGCATCGACACGCATGAAGGAAAATTTAAAATTCCCCAATTTGGCTTCAAGACACGGCTACAAGTTTGCTAATCTTATTAGCACGGAACGTAATCTGAAGTTGCGTCACGTAAAATGACGTTATAGGCTGTTTCAACGGCGTTGGGAATAACTTAGGCCGATATTTGATGCCCGTATGAATTCAACCAGAGAGTCCAAACTTTAATTTTGTCTGTCCATTTAAAAATCACGTCCTTTAAATTGCTTAACTTGAGACAGGAGAAGCAGTACATGGAAAAATATGACTGCGACAGTTTTAAACATTTTCATGTCCGCCACGCATATATATTGATGCTGGTTGCAAACGTACCCAGCGCATCTGACCATCTTTTGAGCAGCCAAATGCCAAAAGCAGCTTGCAACTTTGGAAAACTCGCAAAAGAAAGGCAAATCAGGTTTTTTGTGAAAACATTCATGTGCGTGTCCCGAATAAGGCTTAATTTCCTGTAAAATTAATGTGTTGTGCAATGTGGCCGAGCCTACCTAGGCGTTTGAAGCCGCTGAAAGATTACACATAGGTTAAGTATGGTTTTCAAGTACGACCATACGGGCGTGTGGTAGATGCGCTAGACCAACACGGGGGCCATATCGGATTCTGGCAGGCGTTATCGACTTGCGCACCATAACAAATGCCAACATTTCGGGGCGCGGTGGCAGACCCGGTTGCCGACAGACGTCGCGCACACTGGGACCTCTGTCGCCCATCCCCATTGTTGCTGCTAATCAAAAACCTGGTCATCTGTTGTGTGGGCCAGGGGGTGTGGGATGGAGCACCGAGGTGCGGGCTCGACCGTGCCATTCACCTGCGCCCTCCTCCGCCTCCGGTCTTCTTGACTCTGTCCTGACACCGGGCCCAGGTGGGGAAGGAGGAGAAAGCGGTAGATGCTGTGCAAGTCTACCAGTACTATAAACTAAATTTCTGTACAAGTCACCGTCACTGCTCTCACCGTGCTGTGGAGCACACGGTGGACATCGTCGGATGCGATGGTGAGGAGCAAGTAGATGCCCGCAAGTCTACTATCAGTACAAACTAATTCACGCGCCAGTCAGCGTGCCTGCTGCCCCTTGCTGCGTAGCACATGGTGGACATCGTCGGAATCGACGGTCGAACTGTTTTTTTGGGGTGTGCATGGCGAGGGGGGAGAGGCAGAGGAGTTACCTAAGCAAGCGAGTTAAGATTGCGATGAGAACTTGTCGGCCGGGATTAAAACTACAGCGCGCGGGACAGCAGTCAGTCATGCCGGGGAAGGGGGGGTTGTTGGGAGGAAGTGGGAGGACGGATATGGGAATGGGGTTACGTCCATTATCGATCCATACCCTGGCAGTGTGAGGCTGATCACATGGTTCAGCCGCTTAGAGAGTTCTGCTTTCCTCCTCCGTTTTGCAGCGGCCTCTGCGAAGCGCAAGAGACGCCCGGTCGTCGCCCGAAACAGGACCCTAAATGCAACTATTGGGTCCACCGTATGGCCCGTGTCCATTAAGTGCTTTGTAATTGAGCTCCTGGCTACCTTGTGTTCCGTCTTTAGCAGCCACTTCGACATGTGTTCAGCTAACCGAGCTGCCAACTGCCTTTGCGTGCGCCCGGAAAACAGTGTTTCAATATACTGGCTTGGTCTATACAACCATTAGACACAAAACCCAGCTTTTACAGCATTGAAAGGTATTTTGGGCCATGCTACAGTTTCTTTTAATTAGCACAAGGAGATTTTTGATGAGATCCAAGTCAGGACTATTGGCGGAAGTAAATATGCTTCGTAAGCCACAGGCGGAAAAGTTGGTTGTATTCCAATAAACTAGACTATGGTCGTAATCTAAATTAGTATCATACTCTCTTCTAGCCGTGAACAGGAGCAAAATCCTGCAAAGTTTCAGTGTCCAATCGACATCAGTGGATGCCGTTGTAACCGAAAGCACTCTTTACGGTTTCAATGAACACCTTGCTAATAATGTTCTTAACTGTTGACCGCCAGGTCAGTCGCTCTCGGAATTTGATGGCCACCCAAGCCATCAAGCGTCAATATTTCTTCAAAGTTGCTGCCGACGCAGTGTTATCGTGGAAGTTCTTCTCACATACATGACCGCCTGGGCCGATTACAGAGTCCTGTCTTAAAATAAGGCCTCGTCACAAAAGCAAATGATTTCCCGCAATAAAATTTTGTAATCGGTAGGCTTGTCAGTAAACAAAACTTACTCCGCTCCGTGGGATTTCGCATACCTGAATCACACCGACTTTCATGGACATGAAATTCCACTTTCTGTTTCCAGAAAGAACTTACTCAGAAGTTTTCTTGCCTATATTTATGTCTCTTTATAGCACAAGGTGAAAAAACCAAGAGACTTTGACCAACTCAACATAATTAAGTAGGTCAACAGCATTGTGTCCATCAGGTGCGGCTACATAACCACATCTTGCGTCATGTTTAACCAGGATTTTCGATAGTTCATGAAAGAGTTTTCTTTAAATTTTGTTTTTCTTCGTGTAGCATGACTTCTCAAACAACGTGAAAGCTGTTCCAGCTCAGGATTCGCCCAGAGCTGCGACGCAAACCCTGAAAAATGAGGAGAATTTTGCAATTTCCGGAGAACGCCAGCTTTTTCTACTGAAAGCAGACAACGAATACTTAAGCAAACAGGTACTTACTAGGATCCCTTTTTTGCACAATCTAATTTACTACTCATCCAGCAGATGTCAACTCTGTCACCGCGAGTGACGATGCCCACCGCTTGCCCATCAACGAGGGGGAGTGGAACGCAGCACCGGTGAATTGTGCATGAATTAGTCCACAGTAATGGCAGACTTGCGCAGCACCGGCCTCACTCTCTCCTCCCCCACTCACCTAAGCCGGGTGTCAAGACTGAGCCGGAAAAATCGGAGGCAGGATCGAGCGCAGTGGTTAGCAAGGCTGAACAGCCCGTCTGCATGAGCCGGCCACACGTGGTCCACGTACGGTCGACCAGGTTTTCACACAGAAACACGAAAGCGCGACCCGGATCCCAAATTAGTCCGGATGCCATGGAGGCCACGTTAGAAGAGGTTATTGGGGTCTGGCGCTACGTCCTGACAGGAGGGTCGAGTTATCCCATCAGTTGTCCGCCTTCCAAACCAGGACTGTTCTCACACCGATAATGCCATTCTGTCTACATTACGCGCTGCTGTGTGACCGCTGAAAGGACTCGAAAGAGAGAGCCCCAAGCACAACGGGACGAGTGAGTTCCGTAATGCGATCAGTGCGCTCCAAACCGACAGGACAAATAACCCGTGTTTCAGTGGTTAGAGCGCTGGACCTCTAACCCACATGCCGTGAGTTCGAACCTGGGAGATTGAATAAATCAGGGTTGGGTATGACTAGCTGATAACGGCTAAGAAGCCAGAAATGACCATTCCAGTTTTCTTGCCTTTGTCGGTGATGCCATTCTGTTTTCGCATCGTTATAATTTAAAGCGCGTTTGACTGTTTGTAGTGAGAAAATGCCCTTAATTGTCGGGAGAACGGAATGTTCGGAGTCGACTACAGTTCCTATTCATTCTCACAGGCACTATTCACCTATCCGATCATGCCTGTCATCTGGTGCTGGGATTAGGCGCGGCCCTTCTACGCTTGCCTCACACTACCTGGCCAGACACCAGGTTGAACCAAATAACATGTTTCCGACTGACATGGAAGGCCCGGGTACTGAGCAAGTGGTGAGTGATGTGGGCAGTCTTGTGTGCAGCGTATGGGTTGGACGGACGAGTTACGTTGGTGGGGGGCTTGCAATGCGTTGTCTTATCACTGGTGTTCATAGAGGCGCATATGGCCAAGTAGGATGTGCGTGGGCAGTGTGAGCGGTTGAGGCAAGCGCTGCGTCCACACTGGTTCGCCTGCCTCAGTGCGATAGGCTAGCAAGTGACCGACCAAGCCGATGCGTTATGCGAGGGCACGGTCGCAATGGGGATGGATTAAGATCTAGTTCACATTGCACTTGCATGGGACACTCGTGATGGCGGTGCTGGGGTTTGTGATGAGTGACAGGACGTTGAGAGCGTTCTCACCAGCGGTGGGGTTGTGTTGGCGGGCAGCGTAACATCAGTATTTGCTCGCCAGTAATGGTGGTCGTTGTTATCGTGGGGATAATAATAATTGGGGGTGAGGGTGGAGACGATTTTGGAAACGGAAGGAGGGAGTGCTATTTTAATGGTACATTGAGTTAAAAGATGTCCTACCGATTTATGCGTCAAATGTCCGTTGATATCGTGAACTTGATGAAAGGGGTCGGTTGTTAGCGTTGTTAGTCCGAGAGATTGGCGACTTAAGAGGCGCTCTCTTCCTTTTGGCAACAACGAACTGCCTAGCTTCGTACATTGCTGTTCCTGTTTTCACTGCCCTTTTCCAAACCAGTCGATCCTGGATGAAGTCTACTCAGACCTGCTAGTTGATTTGTAGATTTGTGAAGGAGATTTTCAGAGTGTACCCGTAATGTTGTTTCTGCCCTCTATGCCGATGAGCCACTGTTACGACGTCGCCATGGAAAAGTCGCACAGGTAGGTGCCAGTCATCCGTCCCCAAGAAGTAACTGTAACATCGTGGCTGGATTTGCCTCGCTATGGCGCGGAGGCTGGAGATTCTGGTCCGTCCCAGGACCTCCGTGTCTGTGGCTTTATCTTGTGTTTTTAGTCTGAGTATTTACCGGAGACAGTTGGGCGGGAATTGGTTGAACTTTTTGAGTTGACTGGCTTTGACTGTCGACGTCTCCGCACCATGTCCTAGAACCTTCGCCCTGCGCATCTTGAGTTTAATGGTGAGTAGAAGTCCGCGGCGGTTCCAGACTTGCGGCTGTAGTCAGCTAAAGACCTATCAGGCTTTGAAAATCCGGTAAGCCACTTTGCCTTCTATCTGGACACTCCTTAAAATAATACGTTTGAGGTATGCGAACCTGCACACTTGCCAACTGGGTTCCTCTCCGTGTTTAGCGTCGATTAGTGTATGAATACCGTCTTCTCCTTGTTCATTGTCAGTCCCAAGTTCGAGCAACCGGGAGCGAAATGGCCCCTCACTCCGCCGCATGTGCCCTTCCGCTCCGACATCTGACTTCCAGTCATTCGCGAATAATAGGTCATGGATGCCAGTCTTAGATACTCTAAAGGACGCCTTAAGGTGACGAATGCTGGACAGTTTGCCATCATCTCGGTAGTTAATGCCGATCCCCGCTGATCCTTACGGTAGGTGTCCGTCATTATGGCAGAGGACATGAGACCAAATAGGGTGTGTGCGAGAGAGGGAGAGAGAGTACGCAACCCTGCATCATCACGAAGGCCTCAAATATTCCATTGTTTTCCGGGGCACGATTTACCGCCCCATCGTGAAGTTGACGCAGCACTTGTGTGAAATCCTCCAGACATCAAAATGGCAATATTCTTTTTCAGAGTCCATTGCGGTTGACTAAGGTGAACAACTTCTGAAGTACTGCACGTCTCGCCAGCGCTGTGTTGACAGCAGATAAAGGTCTGCGACTGTCTCTGATAACGAATTTGAGTGAGAATCCAAAACATCAGGCCAATAAATTCCTTGTTCCAGTGCTCGCATCTTCGAAGCTGTTCACAGAACAGCTTCGTTAAATCGACAAAGGTAGGGTAGAGGCTTATCCGTATCTCTTGGCGCTCCTCCTGTTGTTGGCGAGCTGCGGAGATCACGATGATGCCTTAGCGGCTCCTGTAAAACCATATTGACTATCTGGAAGAAGTTCCTGCTCCTGTTGCGGGTTTAAACGGTTGATAAGGGGGTGAGCAAAGATTTTCCCTTCAATGTTGGATAGCAAGATACCTCTGTGATCGCTGAAGAAAGGTCGGTTTCCCTAGCGCCTGCATGTGTGGACGATGGTAGCGTCTTTTAAGTCTTGGAGGACTTTTCCTTGGCACTACACCTCCTAAAAAGTAACGTCAGCCTTTCCCCCAGCCGAGGATTGTCGCGATTGTAAGCTTCAGCAGAGGTTGTGTCAGCCCCTGGGCACCTGGTCTTTTGCAACGGGATTGAGCGGTGAAGGCGGCGTCGGATTTCACTTGCGGGAGCTGGCCAACAGCGTCATCGGAGATTGTAGATAGCCGGTTGAGAACGCTCCCGAGGTACTAAATCCAGCGCTTCAGAAGTTCCGATTTCTTTGTAATAATTGTTGACCTGTAGGGGTTCAGCTGTGACGTTGTTCCTCTGGCCGCGTAGCCGTAGACAGTCTCGATTGAAGCATAAAAAAGTTATTTAAGCCATTGCGTTCAACGAAGCCCTTTATCTCTGCAGTCTTAAGATCCATCGAAGTACTTTTCTTCTTACATCATCGATGTTGCACCTGGCATCGAGATCGAAAGAAAGCTGCTTTGTTTACATCGGATCAGCAGTCGGCGTGGGCTGTATGCCGACAGTTCAACCGTCGTTTCCGGCGATGTCCATCGTGTGCCCCTCAGCAAAGTGGAACAGGGACAGTAACTTGTGCGTGAATTACAGTGGTAGTAGACTTGCGCAGCATCTACCGCACTCCCCACCTGGACCCGGTGTCAAGACAGAGTCAAGAAGACTGGAGATAGGAGAGGACGCAGGTGGATGGTACGGTAGAGCCCGTGCCTTGCCGTCCTACTCCACACCCCTGCTCCACACAACAAATGACCAGCTTTTGACCAAAAACCACAACAACACCCCAACAGTGGTCAGAAGGACGAGGATGATGACTGGGCAGCCATGCCATAACCTGTATACCCAGCGGGAGCGCAAGCGCATCTACTGACAGTGCACCAGGTGTCAGGGAACTGCCATCGCATACCAGGCTGTGAGGGCCATGGTTTGCTGATACTGGCATAACACACGCTTCCAGACCTTTTGATGGGCGACATTCAGCCTCTTCTCGAATAGCTGATTTCAGAATTCGTCGTCTTTGTTGTTGACCCAATCCCGATATTGGCGCGTGCACGACCAATGACTTCTGTGGGGATGGAGTGGAGGGCGTTTTGCAGACAACGCCACCGAGTCTTCACAGTGGCGTTGTCGTCTGGAGCCGGAAGTTCTTCCAGATGCTGGGCTAGCTGATTGCAGCCTCTAACGGACTTTCTCTTCCTCTCCACCCGGCCCAATGTCATGACTGAGTCAAGAAGACCACTGGGGGCATGGGTGCAGATGGCTGGCATGGTGGAAACCCGCACCTAGGCGTGTCACCACATCCCCTTGGTCTACCACATACAACTCACCAGAATTTGACAGATCCAAAAAGGGGGCGGTTCGGAACCCAACTGAGTGTGCGCGCCATAGATGCCACATTAAGAGGGAGCCATTGCAGCCTGACTCTCAGTCCACCCAGTTCGCCACTCCACACAAACGCACACTGGACTGACTGCGAGCTCCGAGTTACCCCGCCAGTTGGTGGTTTTTTAAGGCACGACTATCGGCGCACCGTGATATCTTCAAGCGTCCCTTGTCTTTGTCGGTAATATCATTCAGCTTCAAACGTGTCATATTTTTTACAGTGAGTAATATGCTCTGAGACTGCCGACCTCCCTCTCTTCCCTCTCCAAGACACCTGTCAACTGTCCCAGCCGGTCAGTCATCTAATGCGGGGGTCTGACGAAGCTAGACGGCCCATCTGCGCATGACACATACGACCTGACCCCCTGCAAAACACGCCGAGATTTCACACAGAGGATTTAGACGACTCAGACTCCACATGTGTGAGAGAGTGCAATTAGAAAGGAGCTGTCGTAGTCTGGCTCTCAGTCCATCAGACGGCCACTCAACGCACACTCATACACTGGGTTGACTGTGTGGTCTGATTTGAATAGTCATTTAGAAACCTATTAAACCACGGCTTTTAGCTCACCGTATGATAAAATACACCCACGCCCACGCCCACATACCAGACCTTCGTCTGGTTTAGCCTGCTGGTCAATGCGCTATGCGGAGCCTGGCATCGGCGAAAGGCACCTGGACCACTGCAGGGTGGACAGCCTCTACCAACTGCCGAGCCAGATTCACCACTCAACAAGATGTTGTGGAACTGGTAATCCATCGGTCTCAAAGTAATCTGGCCCCCATACTGGGTGTCCTCATTGGAGGATCCGGGCTAACTTTCGTCTTGTATGATCGAGCAAGTGAAATGTCTAGAGTAGAAGCCAAGAGCGGTGTTTCGTCGTCTAAGTTGGTCGGTGCGTTACTGGGACCTCTGGAAAGTTATGCCGGTCTCAAATCCCCTATCAGCAAACTTGACGCTGATGAGAGGCTGTGGACCCTTTGCATCATGCCGCCAACTGCAACTCCAGATTGTGGGGAGACCTAGCATCCCCGACCAACTTTGCTGAAGATCAGGACTGTTAGTGAATTTTTCTGTTAATTTGCTAACAGCAATTTTGGAACTGCAACTGAGTCCGAACAGAGTATTTACTCAACACACCCAGAACTCCATCTGAAGTTTGCCAACTTCTTTTGGATGTTTTCTCTGGAACCAAGCTGGCTAAATATGTTGGTTCTCCCGAAACTTGTCACTGTTTTCGGGACCAGCTAGATATGTGTGGTCTTTTCACAAAATACTGTGTTATCTCTAACACTTAGAGCTGTGGTCCCCTAACCATGTAGCTAAGGTATTTAACCAGATGTGTGATAGTCATAGTTGCTAGATAAGTATGACCGTGTAACATCGCTACCATTGGAGTGTTCGGCAAGTTTCAGCTTATCGGAGTCCGTAGGGGGTTCTTGGCCCAGAGACCCATTTGATGGCCTTCTTGCCTTCTGAATGGTCTTGCACTATCACCGCCATCAGAGTACGAGGGCAATATCTGTAATTTTGCGCGATCGCTGCAACCCGAAATCCTCTTGCAGACTCCCCCGTGTTCCGAGATGGTGGAGGGACACGCTTTCTGACCCTACGAATACCAATAGGTGAAGCCCATGATACTGCATGTACGTTTAGATTTTGATTAGGAGTAGCTAGACGTAATGGTGATGCATGACTGTAGGCTTAAATATCCTTCTATTATCAGGTCGAAATTCTGGCTGAGAAGCTATTGCTGCTGGAAAAACAGAATACGGAGCTGTCAGAAAGTGTTCGTCAATTGGATAAAGACAGTACAACAGCTCGAGCATGCGCCTTGGCGGCTGAGAAACTGAACGAAGATCTACAAGAGCGACTAAGGGCGTGCCAGAGGAGCCAGGCCTTCGACACCACCGACATATTAAACCAAATCCGAGTAAGCAATACACTTTGGAGTATCCTTCTGATTCTTGCTGTTTCTATACACCATTTCAATGGCAAAATATTCCAGTTACTAAAAAAAGCACATAGTATTTATTTTTCATCTGTCAAACGCACCAAATCACGTCGTCCGGAAGCGCAGATTGAGGTTTCTCAGGGGTTCGTCTGGCTTGGCATTGAGAGTGCACTTTCCTTCAAGGGACTCACAGTTTTTTCTACCCATGTGTTTGAATGAGTATAATACTTCTTAATTAGGGCAGTTTATGGGAAATAAGACATATTAGTCCCACAGTTTGGATATGCGCATGCTGACACCCGGGGTGGAATCGGAGGTCGACAGTCCGTTCCCGTTTGGTGACATACGTTTTCTGGCAACACGAGTTTCTCAATTCCCGTAGTCAGTTATAGCTTAAAATAGTATTGCTATTCGAAATCTTGAAGAGTGAACCGAGTTTAGTTCAGTAAGAAGTACGACTTGGAGATTTATGATTGTTATTGTTATTAGAAGATCTGTTTTTCAAATGTAAAAACACAGAATACAGATGGAATAGATATTGTGTCAGAGTCCTTGTTAGCAGAGATGATGGAGTAAATAGCGTCAGAGTTTGTCTGGTCTCTCTATGTGATGCTTTTTCAATCATAGATTGCTGTTCGCCATGCGCAGACGTCAGGACTCTAGACGAGAGTTCCAAAACAGGACATATTGACAGAATTCCGTCCTGAAACCAGGTCGGATCGATGAATACCAACTTTGTGGAACATAGCTCAGTTCTTATGCTGGTTAGAATTTCCTTGTCAAAATATATATGGTTTCGTTCGACTCCCCGTTCGCCATGAAGTCTTGCTTTAGGCAGAATGGCATTGCCGACAAAGACAAGGAAGACAGGAATGGCCATTTCTGGCTTATTAGCCGTCGTCAGCCAGTCATACCCAACCCCGAAGTGTGAAACACCCGTGGCTCGAACTCGCGACCTGTTAGTTAGAAGTCCACGCCTCTAACCACTGGGCCACGAAACCGCTGTCCTGTCTTTCTTTATTTCACAAAAGCAGCCACTAGCAACCATGAAACTGAAATATAGACCCAATGGGCGTCTATCTCATTATTCAATAATTGAGGACGTTTATCTGCTGACGAAAGTCGGTAGAGCTGACAACAGGAACTGCAAGGATTCAGTGCGGTGCCTTGCGCGTGAACTTGGTTATAGTGAAGCAGCCTTACGATGCGCCTATTACACTCTCTCCTCCCTCATCCGTCACTTTTCCATTTGACAACGAGATCAAAGGGACCGGGAATGGACTCAGAAGCAGTGCTTGGCAAAGCTAACCAGCCCGTCTACTTGTGACACGAACCGATCCCTGCTCAATTTATCCTATTCCACAGCTAGCGAGGGTTGTCCGATCTGAGGTAGGTGAGAGTGTCGTAACGATCACATTAGAACAGGCATTGCAGCTTGAGTCTCAGTCCTAAGACAGGTTCGAGTTAGCCCGTCGATTGGCAACCGTTCAAACTGCGTCCTTAGCGCGTTGTGATGGGTTCGGTCGCCTTAACTGCGACAATAGCAGTCCTGACCTAGCACCGATGCCCATTTAAAATAACCAACACCGAGGCCATATACTTGGTCTCTGGCATGACTTACCACGACCAGCACAAGCAGGTGTCTCATCATATGCCGCTGTCCAGTATCGTCCTTACAGTCCTACCAACTGTAACTTGGCCTAATCAGTCAGTATATTTGGAGTAAACGACAGAAGCCCTGAAAACTTTATTTAGAGGTTACAGATGTAAGAGAAAATAGTTAAATTACAAAATTTTGCTTGCAGTTTTAATATGGAGAATTCATAAATCTAATAATGTAACATAAAGGAGAAAGGGTTGTGGTATTCGCGAACTAATTGCGTAAAACTTTGTTCCCCTCATTTGGACTGTGAAAATTTCCAAACGAGCCAAGTTTAACGCGCAAAAAAGGATCTGTTGAAATGCGGTTAGTAGTATATTTATAGTCATTTTATTAATCCGTTTGATCAGGCTTCGGCAGTTCGGGTTGCCTTTCAGCAGGTGAGTATCCAGTTGTTTCTTGAACACGTTCATGGTAGGGGAATTAACAACATACTCCGGCTTAATGACTGCGGTCACCTAGGTGCTGACTGGGTGTGTGCAGTCTCGTACTTTATGAAGCACTTTCTGTCTATGTAATTCAATCACTTGATAGAAAAATTGCTCGAGGCAAATTTGTTTTTCTGTCACCGAGGTTTCATTAGAGTTCATACATTCCCACGCATTTTATTGATTTAAAAAATTGCTATTTCGTCAGAAAATTAGCGAGGGCGACCGGGAGAAAGAGCAGCGTTCCGACCTTCAACAACGGCTCGCTGCAGTGTGCGCTGAGCGGGACAAACTTTTCGGCCAATTAGAGTCCTCCAATCGTAGACTGGATCTGCTTACGGAGGAGTTGAGGCAGTTGCGCCTACAGCAGCAGCCGCCGCCCCAATCGGCAGCCTCCCTGTTTCCCCTCTCCGCCTCCTCGGACGCGATAATGAAGTCGAGACTCGTGAGTATGGAGGTCCAACTGAACGCCGCATGTGCAGCGAAAAATGATGCTCAGCTTCAGGTGGAGCATCTGTCAACTAAATTGGAGGCGGCTTCCAAAGCGTACTATGAGGTGAGTTTGTATGACTGTTTTGCGACCTTCGGAGCAGGCCTCCATGGCGATAGCCAGTCTCGCTTGAAGGAGAACGAAATGCCAGAGAGGGGGGGAGGGATGTTTAATAGAAATCTTCGATTGAGCACAAACTGGGGTTTGCTGATAGAAGCGAACAGGCGAGATCCAGGAAGCAGTTCAGACGACGAATATGTGATCACTGGAACAAGAAATTTATTTGCCTGACGTTTCGGATCCTCACTCGAATCCACCACCAGAGACATTCGCAGATAAAGGTGATGGTGGCACTAGGAGTGCAGTATTTATAGCAAGTGGCTGCCGTGGGACCGTATGCGCACTGCAAGTAACAGTTCTCGCAATCACCACTGGGGTCGTAATTGCTGCGGTGGTGGCTTGTCGGTCCGAGTCCGAGTCGTTAATGGCCGCGATTTCGTCATCCGTCTTGGATGCTGGTGTGACGATTGCTCGGCAAACTGGCTTACTGTCACCGTGATGATTGCTCGCCCGCGCCCTCCCCACGTGACTGATTCTCCTGCCCAGGGAAAATAGCAGTACGGAATAGGGTACCGGGAGGCCATTTTGCTTGTTGACGGATTGCGGGCCTGAGAACCATGACTCGAGCAGCTCGCGGCTCACGCGGTTGTCACCCCTTGTGAGGATTTCGGCCTCTTGAAATGTTAAAATATGGCCGGGTGTGTGTGCCGCCACCTGAGAGTTAGCGTCTCCCCGCCTCACTGCTGCTGCGTGCTCGGCAAGTCGCGTACGGAGTAATCTCCCAGTTTCTCCGAATTAGTTGCTTTGTCCGCAACTACAACAGATCCGGTAAACGAGTCCAGACGTTTCCTGTCGTGGCAGTGGGTCTTTTGGCCGCATGACTTGGCGCCTAATGGTTGCTTCCGGCCTGCGTGTAACTCCAACTCCAAGTGGAGTTAGAAGACGACTAACGGCTTCCGAGACGTTCTGCACGTATGGAAGAGCCCGCCAACGTTTGGGGGTGGTTGGATTTGGTCCCTGGTGTCGTTTTCGTATGCAGTGGTTGACAAAGTTGCGCGGGTAATCATTGGCTCTCATTACCCGCCTGATTTTGCACTCCCTCCTTCCAAAAATTCTTCTCATGTGTTTCCTTTAAGATCGATTCGGAGAGGAAAGTCCAACTGGCTCAACTAGAGGCAAGGCTGCAGGTGGCTGAACGTCGACTCGCCGCCTACAATCAACTGGAGGAGGAACTCGACAGGGCGATAGAGGCATCAGCTGAGCTCATCCTCGATGATATGCCAGTCGACACGGAGGCCGACGATAAATTCACCAGCAGGACCCTACTAAAAATCGCCAATCTGGGCGTACTCCCCGTAGCAGCCAATGGACAGGTACCATCCACAGGTCCCCTCCTTCCCACACTCGCCACACGACGTCTCGAACACTGTCTGCAATTGTCCAGAAAGCTGGCCGAGTCGGAACGAGGTCGCTGTGAACTTCAGGCCCAAAAAGAGGAGTCTGAAAAACTGTTAAAGGTAAATGGCCGACGAATTTACGTAGTCCTGACTTTTTCGAGTAGATGGGTCTTTTGTCACGCTGAAGTGTTCCGAAAGGGAAGACGATGAAACAAGCACGGATGTCGGTTGGGCAGGGGAATAACCATCGTCTGGATCATAATCCTATAGTGTCTATTTGTTTGATTTAAGTAGTCACACAGTCACCAACCGGGAGTGCCTGCGTGACCACCTCCACGCGATAAAATGGGTGACTAGTAGAAGACCGACTGACAACCAAGACATTGGAAACGATAAGGCGTAAACGCAGACCGGGGGTCTCACCATCTTTGGCATGAGGCTGCTAACTAGAATAATGTTAGAAAACAAAAGAAGGGCGGATGTCAACGACATTGGGGACGGAAAGGGTGAAAACACAGCGGCAACTTTCACAAAACCAACTGAGGACTAGGAAGTTCGTTGGCATTAACACTCTGACTTTGTTATTTACTAGCAGCAAATGGAATGAATACTGCGATGTCCGACTTAGTAGGTGCGCTGGCCAAAACTAGAAACGCATGGGCTCTCAACGGCGGTCAAGGCGCTATTCACTGGATTAGGAAGGAATCTAGGAAACGGAGCTAACGCGGGGAATGGCAGCGTTCCCCAAGGACAACTTACGTCCCCCTCTCCGACGCTGTCGGTAACAGGGCTCACGATCTACAGCTTGAAGCCGCTAATTAGATTAGCAGCTGGCAACACCAAGAACAAAAGACATTTTCCAGCAACCGTATTGGTGAATGGTATAAAGCCGACTGTAGACTATGAAGTTCATCGGAAACGTTGTATACGACGCGCGAAAACATAGCAGAGATCAGCTCGGACAACTGGGCGTCAATCAGAGGGGAGGAAGGGATGCGGTAATAGAAGCGAAGAGGCAAGTTCCAGGAAGTGGTCGCGAAGAAGGAGATATGATCGCTGGAACAAGAGCTTTATTAACCTGACCTTTCGGCAATTTACCACTCCTATCTGACTCTGTCTCTGATGATGGGTTCGAGTGAGAATCCGAAACGTCAGGCTGATAATGCTCTTGTCCCAGCGATCGTGTCTCCTTGTTCGCGAAGAAGGTGGTGTTGACGGCAATTGGCCTCGGATTATTGACAAAATATATCAAACTACCTAAATCAAATAACTAGACAATTTATAGGAATATAGTTGCTTTGGATATCTGAGAGTACAGTTCTCACCCTGATTTTTGAATGTAATGACAAATATGACTGGTCTGTCGAAGTCGAGGAGGGTCACCACCGTCTTGGGCGTTTTCGTGACCTGTGCTTTAACTGGATGGTAACAAAACTGGCTAAACTTCGACCTCACGGACTCTCAACACGCGCATTCCGTTCCGATGTCGATACGTAGTTAAGATGAGTCGTGATTGACGCCAGTGCAGCTGCCGACCTGGCGTAAAGCCATCACCTAATCGGGCCACAAATGTGCTTGTAACTTAACTGACGCGGAGACTCGGAGTTCACAACGGTGCCTTGCCAGAAGTCACATTAGGAGGGGGGCGTTGCAATCCCGCTATCGATCCAGAGCATCCAGCTGATAAATTACAAAGCCTCTACCTTCTAGATGTCTGATTAGGCATCATTTGAATTATAGTGATGAATAGTCTTACAGGATCGGTCTCTTCCTTGCTAATCTCATCATTTTCGTTAACAACAGCACTAAATCGAACCGACCGGGGACGGGATCAGAGGTAATACGAGACCAAATATCTAACTCCCCGTCTCCCGTTTGTGCACACCTGCCGGTATCCAAAAAACCGTTCTTCGTCAGTACCATCCTCTGCTAAGCCCGTCTGACCTGGCATCTTCAGACGGAAAAGCGCTTGCGATTGTGTTTTTCCAAAAAAGAGGATATATATCCCCACAGGCTGCCTAGACAATACAGATTATAGTTCTGCGTAATGGTAAACTGTAGTTGGATGCAAAATCCACATGCGCTTCGTGAATCGTTATGCACGACATTGCCAATTCGCTCTGACATTTCTTCCTAGTTGTGCTACTTGCACATTCAAAGTGCGCGAGCATTTGATTTGCCATCCGCACTTCTTCCACTATGCTCACAAGCTTAATGGCGACCCCAAGCTCTGTCGCAAATGCAATTCCTCAGTTCACGACGCTTGTCCAGGTTGGGAGGTAAAAAGAGCATCCACACTTCTAGACCATCAAAACGCCGTAAAGTTTGTGAGTTGTCGACTGATGGACCGCTGGGGGGAAGGGTCATAGTAATGGTTTCTATCTGATCTAAGCCCTCATCCACGAGTTATTAAGATTTGTTTTGTAAAGAATGGGATCTAGTCTGTGCAACGCGCGAAAGAGGATCATGCCAGGCGAAACACTGCAAATGACCGTGGCTTGCCGTTGGAAATGATGAATGAGTCCGGGCCTTGTGCACATCACTAATGCACTCTCTTGGCCCCTAAAGCGGACCACACAGTGTATGCGCTGGACCAACACAGGGCTTAGATGGTAGTCTGGCGAGAGTTACCGGGAATGCACAGCCACAACGGATGCCAATATTCCAGGTGTGTTGGCACGCCTAACTGCAGGTTTACGCCAAACCAATTGGAATCGGGGCCGCCTCACCACTTTCATGTTATGGACCAGAGGGTGTGTTGGTACGCCTAGGTGCGGGTTTCGCCATGCTAGCCACCTGCGGCCTCTTTCGCCTCCGGTTTCCTTGACTCTGGTCTTGAAACCGTCTTAGGGCGGCGGGAAGAGGAAGGACTCCGGTAGGCGCTGCGCAAGTCTACTGTCAGTATAAACTAATTAACGCGCAATTCACCGTCCCCGCTCTCATTCTGTTTCGAAGTACACGGTGGACATCGCCGACGTTTGAAATGTCGAGCTGCAGTCCCTGAGCGGTGGTGGTCCCCGCCAACTGCGACTTAGCTAGGTTCCCCACTCCTTCTACCTCCAATTCCCTTTTTGGCATTTCACAGCATGCCGAATGAGTCTGGCCTTACACAGCTTCCCTTTTCGGAGGGTTTATAAACTTCCGCTGTGTTCTGTTTAACAGAAAGCCCAAGAGGAGTGCAAACGCCTGTCCGACCTCCTGGCAACAGTTGACAAGCCCGCCGGTTACTTGGCCACGGCGCTGTCTGAAAGAGATAAGCGTCTGGCGGAGACACAGCAGCAGAAGATGAAGCTGGAGTATAGGCTACGGAGGTTGTACAAATTCACAAAGGAGATTGTCCAAGAACGCAACTCCATGGTGGCAGACGTGGAACGCCTTATCAGTCAACGACAGGTCAGTCGAGACACTTGATGCACTTAAAAGTACTTCTGGTCCGTTCAAACCCACTTATCACTACTTTGTCGCCTAGAGTGTATCGAATTCAAATGAATATTCGACGGAGGGCCGTGCGGCTCCCAAGGGTCACATCTGCTTCCAAAACCTACCGTTTTCACCGACAAACGGCAACTTCATGAAAAGACTGGACAAGCTGAGTAAACCGTGTCCCGGGGCGGAGTGTTCATTCAGGCCTCCACCTCACAATAACCACCAACCAGACGGGTCGGCACTGCACCGGAAAGTCTTTGGTACTTCGTGCTAGGATAAAAACTACACAATCTGGACTACTTAGTGCATCTCGGTCCTAGGCCTTGAATTTCCCGTGAAAGAAAAATTGGGCCTTGGAAACTAAAGTGTAAATTCTTTTTCTCACTTTTTGTAATACGCCACCAAGAATTTGAGTGTATAATACAAATTCCATAAAGCAAAGAACGTTTGGAGATCATTTCCAACCCTAAAACTCCTTTCGGTTTATGACTCGGTCCAGCTACTCATGAACTCTCCGGTCTTTTGCAAACGGACGACGAAACCCAAGGTCGAGCGGACTCTCATATCGTTTCTATCACCTGAGACAGCTGCATACCCTCCTTCCGCAGTTGAACAATATAAATGTGATTTGCTCCCGGCGAAGCCCCAAGTGCGGCTGCATCGGGTGATCGTTCCTAATCGTCGATGCATTTCCGAATCCATTCCGGGTTCCCGTGATGCGAGCATGCAAGTTTGGTGAATTAAAATTGTTTAGCCGTCTTCCGGAAAGCGAATCAGACCGAACATTCCTAATCGCTAGCCTTTAAATACTCCAGTCGGGGCCTAATTGCCCTTAATTAGCTTGTACTACCATGACCGGATCATGTAAATGCACGTACACACAGTGCAGACCGTTTATAGATGAAGAGCTAACGGCGAACCCAACCAAAAAAGTATCTTAAACTTGTTTGCTTCGGTAAACGTGGCTGATGAGGAGGCCCGGATTGGACTTTGTTTCGATTTTGTAGCTGACCCACTGGCTAGATATTGTTCATAAACCACCCCCGCAGTACTTTCTTGGTAGTGGGTGTTTATAACGCAAAAATACCCAAATGCAGACCATAAATGAAAAGTCAGATAGCCTAATCCAGAATTCGAATGTACATGCGGCCGCAGAAAGGTACCGAGCTATACTCTTGGGAGGGCGTGGCGCAAATGCCTTGGAAGGGGGTCAGATCTTCTTAAACAATGACACTTTATGTACATTTGAGACTTCTGCGTCAGTTCAGGGAAAAACTTAAGAACAGAAGAATTTCTGAGGATCTTCTGAGAACTCCTTGAAGTCCTTTTCGGAGAAGATACTTTGAGGTTCGGCCGGAGGTCTGCGAGCTGGTGCTCGCCGCATGAGTTGCCGTCGTGAACGGAGGATCGACTTTCCCAAGTTAATGAGTCCTTCCCCGGGCTCGATCTCCACTGCTGCGCCGACACGAAGAGCCTTAGCTTTCTTTTTGGTGCCTACGGAAGACAATTAATAGTTATTATGGTATATCAGGTCTGTGACGGGGGTCAAAAAAACCGAAGGCCAAAATATGCATGGTTTGAGGATGGCGTTGGAAATGCTAAAGTTTACATTGCCCGAGGGTTCATATACGGCCAAAGCACAAGAGCATCGATGCAAACCGACATTGACAGGTGATTAAGTAAACCTTTTGGAAGTGAATTCTGCCGCATACAAATCCATGACAATGGTAGGGGGCGCTCACCGATCGTTCATACGGAACTCACTCGTTCCATTGTGCCTTACGGGCTCTCTCTCGAGCCCAACCAGCAGCCGCACAGCGGCGCATGATATATAAGCAGAATGGTATTACCGACAAAGACAAGGAAGTCTGGAATGGCCATTTCTGGCTTGTTGGCCGTCGTCAGCCAGTCATACCCAACCCCGAAGAGTGGAACACCCGAGGCTCGAACTCGCGACCTGTTACTTGGAAGTCCACGCCTCTAACCACTGGGCCACGAGCCCGCTGCCCTGTCGGTCTCGATTGGGAATATACAACGGTAGGGGGCGCTCACCGATCGTTCTTACGGTACTCATTCTTTTCACAGCTTCCGGTAGTCTATTCGTTTTGCCCGGGTCAGAATTTTAGGGTTTTTGGTGCGAAGAGATGCCAGGTAACCAAGCCACAAAACAATCAGAATATGCGAGGTGTCTGACCAAGCCAATAGGCAGGTTATGGTGAAATACCCGCCACTCGGGGCAGGAGGGAGGGGGTAAGTAGACATTAGTGAGTCTGTGTGGTCAGTTTGTTGTTGGGCAGAGTGGCCGAGAGAGTGACGGGCCGGTTTCGCCAACTAGAGATTGTCTGGCGGTTGATGGTGCAGTTTCTCGTACACGCAGATGGTGATTTGTACAAAACACTAGGCGGTTGGGCAATGTGGCTCAGGACCTGTCAATACTCCCAAATGGTGAGCCATTCTGGGAGTTTTGAATGACCATAGGCATTTTCCAATCGGGGAAAAGGATGCGGGGGGCGAGGGCATTCCACGAACAAGTGTTCAGTAGTATTTGCCTTAATGCCGAATCTAATGCTGGTGTCATAGTCAATGCGGCGTGTTCTGTTGCAAATCGTAGAGATACAGACAGTGACCACTGTATACAGTTCGGAAGGACTTTACCATCCACTGAGAACAGTTTCTCAACATCTCACTTTAGTGCTTCGCACAATTTCCACAACCCGATAAGTGGCGCTCGCCAGGTCTGCTTTCTTGTCGGCTACACCGAGGTAGCCAGAGCACCAAAAACAGTGAGAGTTCACCTGGTTACTTGAACTTGTAGATGTGATGAAGGACTGAAGACCCAGTTGCATCTAGATATATATCTCAAAGTTCCACTGATTCGATAACTGGGACTACGGGTAACGATAAAATCTTCATGTTCCCCGACATCTCATGAAACGATACCATCATTGCCGGTAAATCAGCTTAATAGGAGGACCATCAACCTTTTCGTGACACTTGAATTTTTGGTGTCCAGTAGTCATCTAGACGTCAATGTCTCCAGCTTGCGGTTTTGCCCTCACTGTACTGTCCGTAAAGATCGTCCAATAATGCTTTTTCTATTTGCTTTCTAGGAGAACATAAACTGCGCGCTGGATAGCAGAGCAACGCTAGATAGTTCTTTCTGTCAAGAGGGAAGGGTTATAGAATGGACGCGGGACATTGCCACAAACATTTCTACACACAAAGGTTTCGTGTTTTATCGCCAGCCTATACTCTTGGTTCTGTTTGGCTAACAAAACAGCGCTACTTACCTTTGAATTAGCACTACTGCAGCGGTGAGACATGTTCGAATCCCAATGGAAAGGGAAACAGTTTCCAGTAGAAGCATCTTCTTCAAAACTATTCTAACCAGACAAGTAATCACAGGCTCAGAATGCCGTTGTCATGCGTCCGGCGTCTCTGTCGTTTCTACACATACCTGTGGTCTTCAGACTGCAGCAGCACACTCTCTTGGAACGTCGCTAACTGGGGAGACAACCCGGCATCATCAGGAGGTGGAGGGCCAGGACGCAGTGGCACCTTCACGTGGTCTCTATACACAAATGTTTTTAAATGACAGGCTTGCATCCTCTTCGCGAGGACTAGTGCAACTAAATGCAGTGATTAACACGTGAGTGGCATGCTCTGATATGGATTCAACCTTCTCAATCCGTACGTCTACTTCCATCTTCGGTCGAGTTGACTTTGTCTTGTCTGTGGAGTATGGCGGTGTGAGAAATGAGAGCGAGGTAACTGCCGCGTGAGTTGGCCTCGCAAGTCATCACTGTGACCTAAGGATAGTTGACTTGGTTGCTTGTGAGGGACTAACTACCTGCAGGGCTGGAAGAGCCTTAAGCTCAGTGGTTTATCGAATTAGGACAAAAATTGCGGGTCATCTCGACCTGAGTTTGGGATGCGACTGGCTGACGACGACGAAAAGGTCAGAAATGTTGTTTTTAGTCGCGTTTTTATCTTTGGCCAGTACTTCTCAACGGCGACAGGGCGATTAACCGTTCGAGAGTTCCTATCCGAAGCCTCCGTCATATTTGTTTCTGACATGAGGAGGACTATTTATAGGCCTGGCAAAAACGACGTGATCGAAATGACGTACAAGTTCCTACTATTTTTCCCTCACCAGGCAAGGTATTTGACGAATTCCAACGCGAAGGCCTGAGACCTACACTACGGAGTTTGACGAGCTAACGCGTATACTGTCAGAACAACAGAAGCTAGGGCAGGTTACCACCCACTTGCTCGATACCTCGTAAAAGACAAGCAAATTAAAGAAAAGCGGGCACAAACGTACTTTTGTTTTCGGAAAAGTCCTTCCACGTTTGAGTTTTCTTTGCGGACTTTTTATGCCGCTGGCTCCGGACGCGTTTTAGCTGCCCGTATTTTCGCTGATTATCTAGTGGATCGAAGGCAAAACTAAAGAAGCAGACAACCTGAGGCTTACTTTTAGTGGTGATTTTGCCTTTGCTGTCATTATTGTTTTCTTCCTGAGTTTCTAAAGGAATGACAAATTCTCTCAAAGTTTGGCGTAGAGTCATCACTGGAGCGAATTTTCCGATCGATCAAAAAACTGCAAGCAACGAAAACATAACTGTCTGATGAAATCCGGAAAGTGAACAAAATTGGTTAGCTTTTAGCAAAATTTTAAAAAGACCAGTTAGATAGGTTGTAAGGTCTCGTTACCAGGGCAATGCACTAACAATAATTTTAAGAATTTTGAATAAAGAAGGCATCTACTTAGGAAATTGTCCGGTTACTTCCGTGGAAGAGCCCGTTACAGTAGTTTGGCTGAGAGATCTAGGCAAGGACTAAATTAAGCATTTAGCCGGAAGACTAGGACAGGTCTTGCATATACGGACACTTAATAGAAGTTCTGAAACAAATCGTGGGCTTTTGGAAAACTTACTGATGCAGTTATACAACCCATATCGTCGGGCTTAATAAAAAAGCTAACGAAAGGATTATGGGAGGATTTAAAAATGCTGACGACGAACAATAGAAAACTGGAGAAGGTCGGTGTCAGGTAGGTGATACATCTGTGAAGACCTGTTTAAGGATCACATAAAATTGTGGACTGGTTAGTCGGTAAGAGTAGCTCAAAGAAGCACGAACTGATGCACGAAAGGTTTCATACAGCTCTGGTTAGTTGACGTTTAGAGAAACCCCTGTCAGCCAATAACGTTGCTACTCCCTATTGCAAAATGAATTGTGGTACAAGACACAACAAAACTATGAATTTGGCCAAGTAATGAGTACGTTTAAGGAACGATGGCTACTTATTTCCTAAGGTGCTTAACAACAAACGGAGCTGTCCGATGCGGCGTATTTGGCAGGCCAAACTAAGTGAGTTACCGAACGGAGCCTACTGACTCCGTAAGACCTCTTACATTGGAGCGGCAAGTAAATCCTTAAGAACCAAAGTCTAGAGATAGAGAGTCACTTAGAAACAGATAAAAGCCTTGTTCATGCTTTAAAATGATGTTTTTAAAGTGACCGCTAGGATTTTCGTCAAAGCCGCCGAAGTGTGGCCAAAATGTTCCAGAAGTCACGATCCTCAGAGACGGTGTCGTCATATATGATGCCTAACGATGGGGTAACTACTGCCTACAGCCGCGAATCACAGGCATCAGAGGCAAATGCATAGAAACTAATCAGGTCGAAGAGGAAACAAGGTCCTTCAAACCAAGTTGAAAATTTTAGACAGTTTCAATGGGTTTTCTCGTCCAAGTGGATAGAATGGCTTTTCGATTAAGGGCTACCACTTGCTGACCAACCAGCGGTTCAAAGTTATCCCAAGAAACATTGTCTCATAACTCAAGGGAATAAGCACGCGTCGAAGTGGAGCATCGTGACGTCCAGGCAAGTTCGGACCACTGTAGGAAGCCATAGCGATTAGCTAAGTAGCGACCAAGGTAAGTTGATATACTAAAATCCCTGCATTCAATGCTAATAAAAGTAACGGTGGTAGAAGTTCTAGACGGCAGGTAAAGCAAGCTGTCCCAAAACACGTTTTCCCTGTTACCTAATGGATAAGTGCGAGTCAAAGTTCTGCAAGTAAAAAAGACAAATGACGAGCCCCGCTAAGACGTTAATAAAGAGCACTTTATAGTACATTTTCCCATATATGGTCGCATATATGTGTGCGCGTTTAGTCATTTTATCCAGACAAACAGACTAAACGCGTAAGCCATTTTTAGGCCAGAGAAAGAAAAAAATTAACCACTAATGAAAATGGACAGATTTTTGTCCATGCGAGTCGTGTGGACCCGACAAGCTGCGCAGTGATTACCAGTAGTCCTCTCCGACGCCGCGTTATTCGCTGAACGACCCTGCGGCGGCAAGCTGATTACTGGTTCTTCCGCGGAAATTTCAGATTATTAAAACCTAATCGCGGGTGTTAATTATTCCCGACAGAAACTGAAGTTTAATTGATTAATCCGTTCTTGCAGCATGGTCTTCCTGGGTGAAAAATTCAACCCAGCACTGGATGGTATTCAGAGGCGGCTTCTCGCGAAAGCTTAGCGGAACGTACTTCTTATGAATCGACGAACGAAAAGGGCCCAGAACACCACAAAAAGACAAAGAAGGTCAGATAAGGGAACAAGAATTGGCTACACCGACAATAAAATTGGTTCGCCAAAATGGAGAATGATCAAGAGACTGTAGTAAGCTGGGAGTCATACGTTAGTCCTGCCGAATCAAACCTTCATGAATCAGAGAATGCTGACCGGAAAAATTATACACTCTCAGAGGCCATTCCTCTGGAGGATGTCTACAACTCTTACAGCTCAGGAGTGATGGAGATCAGTCTATCTCGATCAGCTCTGGCCGATTATTGCGCTTAATTCCATGAAATGAACAGACGCCTGTATGTCGGAGTTACTCAGGACGAATTAAGGTTTTTGTATACTAACGATTAAAGTCTCCTTTCAAAGATCGACGGACTCAAAGCGCTAGTTTCAGAACGAAACCCCGACTTCATTGCCATAACGAAAAATGGCTTAAGGTCGAAATCGTGGAAGCTGAGAATTCGATGTGGAGTTACCAACTCCTTCACATGGACTGTTAAAATAGACAGGGTGGTGGGGGCGTCGTACACGTAAGAACCGGAATTTCGGCAGTTAAACGAGCCTACACCCTCGCTCTTAAATATAAATGTGTCTGGATGAGGATAAATGACCTCAATCTGAAGCTATACTTTATCACCCACGGCGGTGGCAAATCTGGAATAAAGTGGTCGTAGATGAGGTTAAGTTCATTAACAAAAAGTAAAACCGCAATCCAACGCTTGTCCCACGGAACATCTGCAAACTATGTGTAACTTGGAAATACCGGTGTTGAGAGTTGCAGCGCCTGGTCGTTGATTTTTGTGATTCTGTAGTTCATGTGCTTCTGAGAGACTAGGTCAGGATGCGGTATATGGGGTGTAGGGGTATCCAGCTGTTGGTCCACGTGATGGTTGTATTAGGTCGCTTACTAACATGGAAGTATAGACTACTGCCTAGTATCCATTTACTGACACCCAACTCTCACGTTTGGCTCCCAGAAGCTAGGCTCCGCCTAACGGCCACACCCCCGTATGTGACTCGACCTGAAGGCTTAAGCAGGTGAGCGCATCCATGGATGCATCTCCACACACGGCGACTCGGCTCCGCTGGCTGTATGGATAATCGCCTCGGTATCTCCGAGACGAGACTCCATCTACAACACAGTAGGAGGCCACAAGGTAAGTGAGCCCCCAGGTAAACGAAAATATCTCCGTCGCCCTTGCTTTGATAGTTCTCGCCTGCTTGCCTTTTGTCCGCTTGTTCGTGTTCGTCCTTGTTGTAAGCTAGATACCGTTCTGTTGAATTTCCCCTGCCACCTTTGTTTTTTGCTGTTCTTGCCTGCTTACTTTTCGTCTGCTTGTTCCTGTCTGTCCTTATTGTAGGCCAGTTCCGTTCTGTTGAATATTTCTGCTCACCGTTTATATTTCAGCAACCAATTGGCCTAGAGAGGGACGAGAATGTTCCGCTTTCAGTCTCTCTACGCTTCCCCACCCCCTCCCCGATTTCATAAGTCCTACGGCGATGTTGAAGGCAAGCCCAAGCCAACTCGGGTCGTTCTCCCACTAAGCGCAGAATTCGTGGCCATAAGTGGAGTTTGGCAGCCGTCTGGCACAACTAAGCAGCTCATCTGCGCGAGGGCGAAGGGGATAGAAAAGGGTCCCTCAATAAATGCTGGGGATCCACGCCATCTCCAGGCTGACCGTGGTCGCAGACCCAAATTTCGTGGTCAAAGAAGTCAAATCCGAAACAACACTCTCTCCCCTCCCCTCCTTCCCGCCCCTCACTCGTCAAACTGGTAAGCTGAGTCCGCTCCCTCTGGCAGCCTGGAATGTTAGTTCCCTTTTTGACAGTCCGAGAGAAACCGACCAGAACAGTGAACGGCGCTAGTGGCTCGGTAACTGGTGCGCTACAAGGTGGACATCGCTGCACTCAGCAAGATCTGCTTATACGAAAAAGGCCAACTAGAGGAAGTTGGTGCCGGCTAAGCCTTCTTATCGGACGGTCGCCCCAGGGCCGAGAGAGGGAACGCGGGCGTCGCCCTTGCCATCCGGAACGACATCGTAGGGCGACTGCCTGTCTGCAACAAGACATCAACGATATTCTGATGAGCCCCTGCCTGTCTCTCCCGAGAGACAAATTCGCCATCATTTTCAGCTTCCAGACCCCCGATGACCAGCTCTGACGCTGCAATAGACAATTTATACAAGGACCTGTACACCCTACTGGCGACTGTGCCAATGGACGAAAATCTGCTTTTCCTTGGCGGCATCAACGCCCGCGTCTTCACGGACCATGCTGCCTGGAGAGTAGGGCTGTGTCTCCACGGCTCCAATGACAATGGCTTACTACCCTACGGAGATGTCGCCACGGGTCCCCGTCGACAATGGGGCCAAGTAACTGTGAAGAGTTCCCTGAAGTGTCTGCAGATCAGTACGGCAAAATGGGAAGACCTCCCCTGCCACCGACCGGCCTAGGGGCGGATAGTGAAGACAGGCGCATCGAATCACGAAACCAACCGCCGCCAAAGTCAAACGCGAGGCTCGCAAATTTCAACTGCGCCCACTCCGCAACACCAGAACTCAATCGCCCCCGACCCGCCCACGCTGCCAGCAGACGCTTTTGGCAGCTTCGAACCAATTGCAGCACCCGGAATACGCCTCCTGCTGTCCCCCCGTCCACTACTGCCTTGGCCCTCACACCAACAGACTTGCACTGACCTTAACTCCCAAACCCCCACTTCCATCATCATCAACTCCCCCCCCCTCTTCTTCTTCTTCTTCTTCTACT